ATATTAAAAGGGTTTGAGGTGTAGCTTTCTGGCATGGAATTTTCCTAGTATGCACAAAGCCATAGGTTCAGTCACCAGCACTGAAGAAAACAAAAACAATAAACATTTTGAAGATAGACAATATGGATTTAAATATGGTTTCCCGCTGCTATTTAAAATCATTCTCAAATCACAGTGCTTCATTAGAAAAAAAGTATCAGAAGGGGCATTCTCACTACTATATCTACCCACATCTATGTCCATGCACTGGGGCTTTCTGATAACACTGCTGATGAAATTTCCATTGTTTTTGTCATTGACCAGGTCTTCTGCCTGTGTACTAGATCCTGTTCTACTTCACCTTTTCAAGGACTTTCTTTTTCCTGTGTTATAAATAATTGCTTTTGGAATGGCTCTTTCCCATTGCTATTAAAAAATTCTGTTTCTTCTGCCTTTAAAATAAAATAAAGTCTCTTGACTACACTTTACTCTCTAGGCTTTTTCTCTTTATTCTCCTTTTCTTTACAGATAAACTCATAAACATTTTCTATATAAGCGATGGTGAACTTTTTAGCACTTTCAATAACAACAAACAGCCTGCTATGGCACACATGCCATAGGTTTGCCACCTCTGATCTATACTCTTTTTCTCTAAATTCTTTCTTGCTACTTAGTATGTCTTGAATCTAGAGTCCCCAAAAGCCTCAGGCAGTCATAGGTGGGGCTTCATGGAGGTGGCTGGATGTAGGGTGTGCGATACTGGGATCAAGGATGTACAATGCTAGAATCAAGGGTGTGAGTGCTGCCCACCCTAATGGTGGGTAGCTTGGATAAGATATAAAGGAAAGAAAGAGCTGTTCCTCGCTTCTCACTTGCTGCTTGCTGCCTTCTTCCTGCCCTGCTTTGGCATGAACTGTCTCTCCTCTGCAATGTCCCTCTGGTGTCCCACCCTGCCCTAGAGATAGCCAACTATGATGATCCTTTAACTTTTGAGTGTCAGGTATTTGGTCTCAGCAATGAAAAAGAATAACTAAGATTACTCTTTTTTTTTTTAAATCAAGCTTTTTTTTCCATCACTCTACAGAACTCCTTTGTTAGAATTACTAAGGATCTTTATTCTTAAAACAAATAGTGCACCCCCAATCATCTCTTCCTCCTTGATAACTGGCTTTCAATATCAGATGTTTCTTTTTTAAGTTTTTTGTTTCTTTTTTGTCTCCAGTTAAGAGGAGACACAAGAATCAGTCTTTAAATTACTGAATTTCTACTTACTCTTATCCCCGTTGTCATTTTAATCAGTCTCGTGGCTTTATACACCATTTATTTCCTTGTAACTCCCAAATTTTATCTCTAACCCAGACTTCTCCATTAAATTTTTGGCTTACAATTTAACATCTTTATCTGGATGTTGAATAAGCACCTCAAACTTACTATGCCCAAAATGATTTCATTTTCCTCTGTCACTTCTTCCTTTTGTAGTTTTGCCTGTCACAGTTACAGGAAACTTCATTCTTTCCAGCTGAGGCCAAAAAAGCTTGTAAGTCATTACTTTCATTCTCTCACACTCCACATTGTTTGTTGATAAATCCAGTTGGCTCTACCTTTACAAGAGATACATTATGCAACTACATCTTTCCATTCCTACTGTTACTCTGGTCCAAGTCACAATTGTCCTTTGCCTAAACTTTTACAAAAGCCTCCTGTTTCCATATTTTGACTATGTCACTCTCATTTACTTTGCAAGATAGAAGCCACGGTGATGCTGTTAAATATAACTTAGCATGTGCCTAATTCTTTTCAAAACTCTTCAATGGCTTCTAATCTTAGAGTATTAGCCAGTCTCTATCATGGCCTACAGAGGCCCAAAAGATTGCATAACCTGTGAATTTTCTAAATGTATCCCTATTATTTTCTCTCTGGCTCTATCCCTTTCACATTAATTTCCTTGCTGTTCCATAACTACCTAAGAATTAGTATCGTTTCTCTTTCAGGGCTTTCATATCTGCTTCAGAAATGATCCTCTGCTAGTTATCGGCATGACCAGCAACTTCTGTCTTTATTCAAAAGTCACTTTCTCAGCAAGGCCTTTTCTGAACACTATTTAAAACTGCAGAATCCTCCCAGATGCTCCCTACACTCTGTCTCTACCTTATTTTCTGCAGACATTAGCACACTAGTATATAGTTTAGTTTTTTATCTGATTTGTCTTTCTCAAACCTATTCTCCAACCCAGAATGTGAGCTCATGAATGCAGAGGTTCTCGGCAAACACTTGTTAAATAAATCCATGAAAAGCTATGTAGTTTAATCCACAGTAAAGAGAATATGAGTCTTATGGGTACCTGTGTTCCGCTATTAATAACTGATAAATGACAAACTGTATTCATCTGGACCAGAAAATACTTCAGACTCATTTGGTGGTGACATCTTTAAATTTTTTCTCTCTCCTTCCCTTTTTATAGTGTTGCATGTGTTTAACTTTAATTTACTTTTTCATAAAGTTCTTATTTTTATATTTAATTGATGTGTAATGTTGCTAAATTTTTTTTTTTCATTTCAGTGTTTGGTTGATATACTTAAGAATATGCCCCATGGGATACTTATGCTGAATTACTAGATCAGGACAGAGTCATAAAAAGCATTAAAACTTCATTCTAATTCTCTGAATTCAAAGGCTAAAAAATGAGTCATTACCTATTTGTTTATTTATAACTTAATTTATTTCTATGAACACTTTTAATTCTATATTATTATTGGAAAAGATGACAAAATAGCCTCATTATAAGAAGGTACAAGCATTATTTGAAAATTCCAATTGTAGCTTATGACACTAGAAAGTCTTAAAATAAGAAAGCTCAATTATTCCTCCTAGGGGTTGCCAATTTATATTTTGCTTTTCTTTAAAAAAATCTCCATTATATATGATATTTATGCTATTTTTTTCATAGTTCTAGTATTTTCATAGCTAACAAGCAGGAATGGGAAAGACATTTTTACTCCACGCTTATGTAAATGTTAACGCAATGCCCATAGCTACTGCATATAAGTTACCATGTTATGCTCACAAAGAAGCACAGGATTTGCATGTATGTAGCTGTATAACCCAGGCAACTTATTAACTTATTTAACTTTTCTAAACCTTAGATATTCTTTCTATTAATGTGTATGATTATAATGTCTACCATAAAGGACTGTTACAATGATTAAACGAAATAATGACTGTAAAGCAACTGTATAATATCTGACACTCTTGGTAGGTATTAAGTGATATTTAAAATAGATGTCAGTAATTTTGTTAAAGTTATTTTAGTTGCAAATAACAAAGGCAAGCTTAAGCTAGATTTCATTTGTTCAATAAATTATTTATTGAGAACTTATTATGTGCCTTACTATGCGTTTGTTAGGCACTATACTAAGAAAGATTAAACAAAAAAAGAACTTTTTTTTTTTTGGTACTGGGGATCGAACTCAGGTCCTTGTGCTTGCAAGGCAGGCAGCAGAACCACTGAGCTAAATCTCTGGCCCCTAAAAAAGGGAATTTTATAACAAGAATGTGAGGTGCCACTTAGAACTCAGACTTACAATTGAATTTCATACAGAAAGAAATTAAGTTGAGAACTGGAAGGCTACTGGAAACCTAGGAAATATTTTGTCTCTATATGTACTCTAATTTATAAACTGGTTTCAGTTTTCTTCTCTGTAGATCAGCTTTTTCTGAAAAACATATTTTTGATGGTGGGTTGAAGCTGGCTATTCAAAAACTACCAAGTATTCATGTTACTGTTTCATTCACAAGGATCATTCACCTTAATTTCAAAATCTTAACATAAGGATCAACTCTCCATCCTTGTACAAACAGGAAGTCAACTATCAGACTCATTTTGAGTTGAACAAATATTCTAAATGGTATGTACAAGTATTCTCCAATATTTATAAAAAGGAAAACTAAGACTGAAGAGCATATCAGTTTTTCAAGTTTGTGTGGGCAGTAGTGAGTGCCAGAGACAGAATTCAAATCCTGGTATGTAAGTACAAGGTCACTTCATCAAAATATGTGCCTTTTACATTCCACATTGTAAGAGGTTTACTTGCTTCATCATAGCCCCAGCTCTGCTAAATGTTTTGTAATTCTTTTTGCTCTACATGTGTTCCCGTCTTAGTTACTTTTCTTGCGGCTGAGATAAAATACCCAAGACCCAAAGTTAAAGGAGGGAAAATTTATTTCAGCTCACAGTTTGTAAAGATTTTAGTTCATAATCTGCTGGCTCCAAGGCAAGGTGGCATGGGAGAGTGGCATCACAGAGGAGAAAAAGTTCATGGCAGGCAAAAGGCAGCAAGAGCAGCCAAGCAGCTAGTGGTAAGCAGCAAGCAACAAGCAGTGACCATAGCAGCCCTCTTTTTGTCCCTTATATTTTATCCAGGCTGTCCTTAGGGAGGGTAGCACTCACAGTCAGAGTAGGGCACCCTTAATCTTAGCATCCCACAGTGAATCAATCCCAGCATCACACACTCTAGATCCACTCACCTCTGAAAACCTCCACCTATGACTGCATGGAGCTTTGGGGGCTTTGAGAAATTTACACTACTATTCTATACTTTTCTTTTCATAATGCTACCATTCTACTCCAAATGTTGACCTCTCACCTGAAGCACCACATCTAAGGCCATCAGTTTTTAATCCCTGTTTCTCCACATTCCCCTCAGAGGTAAGGATTCAGATGGGCTGCAGAATCAACCCATGGCTTGGTTCTCTTGGGTTTTCCAATGTACAGTAGGGACAGGGTGGCAGCAAAGTCTCAAGTTCTATCACATACTTGGTAAGGGCCATCTAAACAAGCTATAAAAGTTCCCTTAATAAAATTTGTCACCTTCATAAATTTCAGGAAAGTTACGTTAAAAAATTTGATGGATTCACACTGTAAGTTTTTGCCAAAAAAAAAATGTCATTATATATGCTCACTAATTTTAAGTATCATTAAACAATTCACCCCCTAGAACATTCTACTAAAATCAGAAACTTACCTTCCCATTCTACTGGGATATCACCTACTTCATAGTCTATTTCATTTTTCTTTGCTGCTTCTATAATCCTTTTCTCTCGAATAGTTTGTCCTGCAAGAGAAAAGTAATTAATGCATTTTAAATGAATCTATGACATAGTAGTCATTACAAGTAATACCCTTTTTTTTTAAATGGTACCATAAATTTATTGAAAAGTGCAGGGTGAAGGGGTGAGGGAAAAACTGGCTCTACAAAGTGAACTTGGGGCAAACAAGAGAGAAAAGATTTTAAAAAGAACAAAAATATAAGTACACCCTGGGCCTGGGAGACAGAGTATGGGCTACCGTGAGTCGTGATAGAAGCTCCTTGTGGTGTCTAGTCGTCTTTATGTCATTTACATCTCATAGGAGCTTGAGAGAAGTTCTGCACAGGGGTCCTGAGAATTATTTGGCACTGTCCTGGTGACATAGGGGGAATATATGTAATTCCCAAACCTGCTAGATATCCAAAACATGAGTTCATATTCTCTAAAATTGAAGAATGAATTCTAGGAACAACAGAGGTTAAGAGTAGAAAAAATTTATTGAAAAAAGATAGCTTCTGTCTAAGAGAGGCAGAAGGGGGACTGGAAAGTGGGTTGCACACCCTTTCATAACAATAAAATAATTGAATTACGAAAAACAACAGATCCCACATAGTTTTGATAAATTTCCTCTTGTAACAAAATACACAAAACCTTAAAATCGTCTACTATAGTATGCAAAATTAATTTTGGTAGGATAAATCTAGATCTACGTAAAGAAAAAGAGGAATAAAAGAATGCTGGAGGGCACAAATGACTAACAAAACATTTCAGTAACTGGTTGGGGATTTAGTGCAGTGGTACTGCACCTGCCTCAAAAGCACAAGGTCTTGAGTTTGATCCCTGGTACTGGAAAAACATTTCAGTAACCAACAGTGTTCAACTCTTTCAAGATCATGAGTGTATATATTAGAGGTGCCAACAGCTGCTATGACTACCCAAGGGAATAAAAATTCAAAGCCCTTACCAAGTATGTAATAGAACTTTAGACTTTGCTGCCACCCTGTCCCTACTGTACACTGGAAAACCCAAGGGAACCAAGCCATGGGTTGATTTTGCAGCCCATCTGAATTATTACCTTGGAGGGGAATGTGAAGAAACAGGGATAAAAACTGATGAGCCTTAGATGTGGTGCTTCAGGTGAGAGGTCAACATTTGGAGTAGAATGGTAGCATTATGAACAGAAAAGTATAGAATAGTAGTGTAAATTTCTCAAAAATAAAATGTTGATTACTACTCATTTTAAGATTATAGAAGACATAAAAATATTTATTTTCTTCTGTGTTCAGAAAGTCTTCATTATATTCTTCAAAGTGTCTTTCTCAAAATGATGGCTTTGAAATATTTGTGTGTCATTCAATCTTTGACCTGGGGAAACTAGATACTTTTCTACTTCCTAGTAGTTATCCTGGATACTTGTGTACTTCAGGGCGTATTAATTGAGACAGAAAAGACATTGGTGAATAATGATGAAGAGAGCAACACAACTTAACATCAATTAAATTACTCAGGGAGAGAAATCTGGGCCTTATAAATACTCCTTTCTTCTCTTTCTCTTACCACTTTTAAGTCAACCTTATACTATGCTAAACAGACTATGTGACATTTCTCTCACAGTAGAGGCTCCATATATATACTGATATTTTCTCTAGAATGCTATTTATATTCATATTTAAAATATATTATAACAAGAATTATTATTAATTATGTTTATAATATCAATCTCCCAAAATATGAGTCAAAATACCTGTCCTCATATACAATAGCCCTTACATAAATAAAAAGATACAAGTATGTCCTTTTAGCAATAATAAGTAAAGAAAGAAAAGCAATCATCTAAAATACATACGGTAGTACACAGAATTCTAGAAGTGCATGTATGGTCTGTAAACTTTAAAGTGTACCTCAATAAAGTTTAGCATATGAAGAGAAGACAGAGAAATGGATAGTTCCTTGGAGCACCATACTAAAGGATACAGGTATATCTGTGAAATAAAAACTCACATTTCCATTTTTAGGTCTATAAATCTCCTTAAAAACACTTCCAAGAATTTAAAAAATCAAAAGTAATGCCTATTTGTGTACAAACAGCAAGGCAGGAAGAATAATTCATGAACTATCTTAATTTCTTGATAATCACTGAGTAAACATTTGTCTATAAAATTGGTGACATGAAAGGTGTACTTTAAAAAAGTACTATCTTGGAGATTTTCATAGCCAGGTAGATGATGGCAGTAGGGACAGAGACTCTGATAAGTGCATGTAGGAAAACAGAAACATTGAGGCAGGTACAACAAAAAAAACCAGATTCGGCAATGTAATCAGAAGAAACTCACTGGACTAAAACCCAGCATCACCAGGTTTTGGAAGGAAGCCAGAGGGCTCCTGTACTGACGCATCCCTGGAACCCCAGACATGGCATACATACCATCTTAGGACAGGACTGGGCTCCTCTAGGGGGGCAGTTAGCATGTCAGAGGCTGCCAGGCCAACTGACTGAGCTCCCAACACTACTTTCTCTACCAGGCAGAGAAACACAGCCAGTGAGATACTGTACTTGCAAACCAGGGCATCATAGAAAGTAAAAGCCAGATTTTGGTATATGAGAGGATACTGGCAGGCCCTTGGGAATTTGAAAACAACCATCCACTCCAATAAGAGATGAGAATCTGAGTAATGAGTAAACTGCAGCCCCAGGGCCTCACAAGTAAGCAGTGTCTGGGAGTGGCAAGACTGGGGAGAAAAGAGGCCAGACCTACTCAGAAATAATTATGTGCCTATTCCTTCTCCATATACTGGGAGCCTTGTGCTTATGAAATATCCTGTGTGTTTTCCATGGCTGCTGGCAGACACCCACAAAAAACAAAAACAAAACAAAAACCAACATCCCCTGCCAGGAACTGCTGAAAGAAGGGAGCTCCGGGCTTTATCAAGTTCACAAATTAGAGTGATGTTTTGGGGAAAGGGATCGAAAAAAGGATCATGGCCTGAGAGACAGACAGTGGCACCTGGGTCAGAAGGCATCCAGGGATGCACTAAACAAAAGGCTCCTGGTGGGAAAACCAGAAGCAGATTTGCCCAACAGAGAATCAAGTCACTCTCTCTCTCTCCCCCAAAATAACTCCAGTGGTAGGTTGCAGGATAGAGACAAAAGCTTAGTTTGCTATACACACACAGTCCTGCTTCCAGCCAGGGGGCAGACCCAGAGAGCCATTCTGCTCATGGGCAGTCATTTAAGCAAACTGCAGAGATTTGCTTTTATTTTTTCCTTCCTTTTTTTTTCTTTTTCCTTTTCCCCTCTTTTTTCTTCTCTTTCTCATTCCCTTGTTTTTCCTTCCTTCTTTTTTTTCCTTTCACTTCATATGAGGTGTCTGTATATTTGCAAGGGAGAGTAAGAACCAGTGTTTGAAATTAAACAGTATCTTTCATGGGCATGTAAGGGTAACTCTCACCAAAATAGAGGATCCAAATGTATGTTACCAATAAATTAACAGATTCTGACTCACAACTACCTTCAATCTGTAATTTCACTTTTCTCCCCCTACATCCTTCCTTTTAGCCCCACAAAAACTCTTAAACTCCCCCTTACACTATCCCATCACTCAATTTACAAAAATAGTTGTCTCATCTAATGTCAGTATTCCACCTATGGATATTTCTTTTCTCTCACTTTCTTCTTACTGACATCCCTCTTCTTTTTTTCCTTCCCTCTCCCTCCATATCAGTCTGTTAGTAGCAGTATATAGTACAGACTGAGTGGCACTGATAAAATGGTAAAATTGTAAAAGCAAATATTAATGTTTATGACTAATACATAGTTTAATCTGTTGACATTCTTATAACCAGTAGGAGGCACTTTCTCTTTAAAACAGTGTCCAGGTCCCATCTGATGCATGTGACTCAGATACCTTAAAAACAAGAAAGAAGAAATGGACTCAACAGATGCTAGATGACACACAGAAGACTAAGGTAACATTGACTGGAATTAGAGAAAAGTCAAAAGACGTCAAAAATAGCATAAAAATGCATTTGCAAAAATCATAGCAGAAAACTTTCCAAGTATGGGGAAAGAATTCACATACAGGTAAGCAAGTCATGTAGACCACAAATAGCCATGATCAGAAAAGAATTTTTTCATGAGATAGCATAGGCAAAAAATTCCAGGAGTCCAACAGAAGGACAGAATATTAAAGCTATTAAAGAAAAACAACTAATCACTTATAAAGCTAAATCAATTAGAATTATAAAGGCAAATCCATGGTAAGCTTCTCAACACAAACTTAAAGGCCAGTAGAACTTGGAGTGAAGTATTACAAGCGCTAAAAGAAAACATTTAACCTAGACTAATATATCCAGCAAACCATCTTTTAAAATTGATGGAGAAAAAAGTACTTTTTATGACAAAGAACACCTTAAGAAAATCACGACCACCAAACTACCACAACAAAAAATTCTCAAAAATATCCTAGACAGAGATAATGAAGCCAATAATGATAAAAGTGTGATGGAACAAAAACATCAAGCAGGATGAGCAGTTAGGTAAAATGGAAAAATAAAGGAATCAGCAACACACACACACACACACAAAGCAATCAAAGGACTGTTAATACCTTTCAGTAATAACTCTCAATGTAAATGGTCTTAATTTTCCAGTCAAAATACATAGATCAGCAGACTAGATAAAAAAACAAAACCAAAAAGTATGCTAAATACAAGAGACATTTTTAATCCACAAAGAAATTCACATCTAAAAATTTAAGGATGGAAAACAATATTCCACGCAACGTGACATCTAAGCAAACAGAGTAGCTATCCTGTATTCTGATGAGTGAATCTTAAGCCAAAACTGATCTGAAGAAGCAAAGGTCACTACATGTTGATTAGAGGAACAAATCAACAAGAAGAGGTAGCAACTTTAAATACATATGCACCAAATACCAGTGTACCAAATACCAACTTCATAAAAAAATACTACTAGACATAACAGATCAAATAACCATCAACACAATTATACTGGGGGAACCTTAAC